CATGCATGCACACACAATCTTGCTGACAGCCCTTCGCAGTTTATAAAGCTCTCTCTCCCCACCCCACACACTCCCGGTAGCCCTCAGAGTAGCTGCTTTTACGGACTACAGAGCCTTGCGAGGCAGTAGAGGAGGAAGAGCGCTGGCCAATCCCTCCCGCATGGTGAGACAGCATCACCGACCTCCAGGGCTATGGCAGAATTAAGTGAGAAAAGGTACGGGACCAACCCCCCTCCCAGCACCCCCCGCTCCCCGCCGCCACGAGAGCAGGCATTTACTAAACAGTAGCTAATGCAGACATAATCCAGGGGGTAGGGAGGCCCCAGAGAGGTAAAGTAGCTTGCCTAAGATCACACAGCAAGAGGGTAAATTTAGGACTGCAGCCCAGGTCCATTAGCCTGTCAGGCTCTGGCTCAAACCAGCTCTGCCACTTCTGGCTGTGTGACTCTCAGCAAGTCACTGAGCCTCTCTGTGCCTCAGTTTTCTCATCTGTAAAAATGGGGGTTCTGGCCGGTCACTGTGGCTCATGACTGTAATCCCAGCACTTTGGGGGGGGCTGAGGTGGGCAGATCACCTGAGGTCAAGTGTTTGAGATCAGCCTGGGCAACATGGTGAAACCTCATCTCTACTAAAAATACAAAAATTAGGCAGGCGTGGTGGCAGGTGACTGTAATCCCAACTACTTGGGAGACTGAGGCAAGAGAATCGCTTGAACTCAGGAGGCAGAGGTTGCAGTGAGCCAAGATCATGCCACCACACTCCAGCCTTGGCGACAGAGGGAGACTCTGTCTCAAAATAAAATAAAATAAAACAAAATGGGATTCTAATAACTCCTACACCAAAAGATTATCATAAGGATGAAATAAGTCAATACATGTAAAGTGCTTGGTGGGTAGGACTCTCGGTAAACGTGACCTCTCTCTCCTTCTTGGGATGAGCCCCTCCTTGCTCTCCCCGCCACTGCCACCACTCCTGCTGCCCCGGACCCCTCAGGGACCCTATGCCCCCTTATATGAGGTGGGAGGAGCCAATGGGTTTCAAAAGGCCATTTTTTCATTTTTTGTTTGTTGCTTTCTTTTACTTTTTTCTCCAGCACAGCTCACCTCGCACCAACCCCCAACACACTGAACTCACCACTGGAGGCATTGTGCTCACTCCTCCCCAGAGAGGAGGAGGCTTCAGGTTCAAATCTCAGCTCTGCCATGAGGATAGTGTCACATCCCCCAGTAATGATTCTAAAAGCCAAGTATTTGCCCCCAGTTGACACGTAAGAAAGCTGAGGGTCAGGGCAGGCTATAGCCTCCTAGTGTCACGTGATGACCACTTTCATTGCTTAGCTCAAAACGCTCCTCCTCCAGGAAGGCTTCCCTGACCCCATCCATGCTCCGTCCCAGAAAGGTCCCATGTCCTGAGAGCTCACTATGTGGCCGGTGTGTTCAGTCTACTCAAGCAGCTCATTTCCAAATCACAACATCCCTGTGAGGCTGACACCATTACTGTCCCCATTTTACAGACAAGGACTTTGAGACAGAAAGAAATCCCTTACTGGAAATCACACAGCAGGTGTCTGTCCCCAGAGCCCCTGGTACCTTGGGAGCTAACAGGCAGCATACATCTGTGGTGTCCCTGTGCCTGTCCCCCACACATGCTGGAAGGGGAGACGGTTCACCCAAGAGCCTGGCCCAGAACAGCCCAGGGGCCCCCAACTCCCCATTTTTTTGGTGAAGACAATCTCATCCTGGTAACGGAAGGCTCACAGTCACCCAGGGGAGCCTGGAGGGGAGAAGAGCAGGGATGCCTGAAACGGGGTGAGGAGGGAATGGAAACCACCAGGCCTGGGGCTGAGACTTCAAAAGAATTCCCTACTAATTCCCCTGCCCCCGCCCCCGCCCCCACCCCCACACTCTCTCTGTCTCTCTCTCTCCCTCTCTCTCTCTCACACACACACACACACACACACCTCCCACCCTTCCCACCTTCCCAACCACAGTACAGCAACTTTGTAAAAGAACAAGAAATCCACATTTTTGAGCACTTAGTAGGTACCAGCCACTGGGCTAAAAGCTTTCCAAATTAAGCCCTTCCATTCTCGCATTCTCTCCGTCTTAAAGAGGTGGAAACTAAGGCACAGAGAGGTTAGGTAACTTTCACAAGGTCACACAGCCACAAGGTAGTGGTCTTCCATCACTGGGAGTATTCAAACAAGACTAACACCTAAGATCCCTTCCAGTCCTGGACTTTTAAAAGAACATGTTTCAAAAGCTAACATTTTCAGGATCCTCACACTCCAAAACTTTGAGTGGTGACTTAAGTACAGTAGCTGAGGTGGCCTTAAAGGCAAATGTCCCTCAGAGTCCTGGTCACGTGGTCTGTCGGAAGAGGGACTCCTCAAAGGAGATGCCAGGAGACACATACATACACACACACACACACACACACACACACCACAATTCACCATCTGCAGTGTGAATGAGGCCTGCTATCCCTGCTATCCCCATCCTGAAAGACACGAAGATATGCAGACACACATACACACACACGCACGCACGCATGCACGCACGCAGGCAACCCAAAGGTCATCATGTCCCTGCCCTTCCCTGCCCTTCCCTGCCCTGAGCCAGCCACTGCTCATCTACCAAGGCCACCCCTGGAGCTTCCCGTCTTCTGATCTAACCTCAGTCCCTCCTGCTGCAGGCACTGCCCTCCCCATGTGGTGTGGAACCCTGTCAACCAGGTACCACCCATTAACCCTTTTCCTCCCAAGCCAGGTGAGGACCAGAGGGATGATGCCCCTCCTTGACAGCCGGACCCCTGGGAAGATGTGAGGCCTGGAGGACATTCTACTTCCCACCACCTCACCAGGAACCCCAATCCCTGCCCTGGCCCAGGCCCCACCCACCATCTCAGCCTCTGGGCTCAGACTCTCGGGGTCTGCTTCATCTACCACCCAACACTGGGTCTCAGCCGCACCTCTCAGATTCAGGGCACCTGCCTTGCGAGGCCCTACTGTGCGTGAGGTTATTAAATGCTGTCATTAAGTCCTTCCACCACCTCGTGAAGTGTGAATTGTTAGCCTTATTCAGCAAGGAAAGTGGCCTGCTCAGCGCTCCACCTGGCCTCCAAATCTAAAGCTTTCTGTCCTGAGCCCCTTTCATTCATGTGCACACCACGTGAATCCTGAGCTCCTTCTCGGGACACTCGTCAGTCATCTCATTGAATTTTTGCCATCTGAGGAAGGTGTCATTAGCCCCATTTCACAGAGAGACAACCAAGGGTCAGAGAAGTAAGATGCCCTGCCCAAACCATGCCATGAATCGGTGGGGGTAGCAGGATTGGAGTCCAGCGTCGTGTGATTCCCAGATCTTTGATTTTAAGGATGGTCTTTCAGAAATTTGGCTGAGAAGGCAACCCCAGCTTCTAGGGTGTGCTGGGTCTCTATCCCTCCCAGGGACCCCTTCCTCCCACCCCACTTCCGGGAGAGCTGGGAATGAGACATCCTGGCCAGCAGGCACTTCACACCGGTCAGCACTCAACACTTTCCCTCCCTCCAGCTGACAGCCCCCTAGCTGGGGAAGACTGAGGAGGGGCCTGGCCATCAGAGAAGCAAGCTTGGAGCCCCTGCCTGTCCTCCTGCTGTCTTACTGACTGGCCCACTGAGGCTGGAAGAGGGAAGGGACTTGCAGAGGCTGGCTGGACACCCAGGGTTGCTTGAGAGGCCTGGGTCCTTTTCAGCCTGGGGGATGCAGGACAGCATAGCTCCTGGAACCAACCCTGGAGGCTGGACCTAGAAATCCTCAGCCCGCCTGGGCCGGGATCTGGACACTTATCCAACAAGAACTCACTTGAGACCTGAGTCCCTCAAAGGGGGATGAGGTCCTTCCTTCCTCTGCCCTCCCTGACAGAGCTGGGACCAAGCATGGTTGCTGCGGTCATTCAAAGGGATACTCAAGTGTCACCTCATATATACTCTCACCTCCACCTGCACATGCTTGGTCCCCTTCAGGGTCCTTGTCCCATGCCCAGGGTCCCCCATGCACCTGCATGCACACGCTGGTATGTGTGTTCACACACACTCAGGGGTCCGAGCACACGCCCACCACAGAGGTCTTTCGTACACACACCCTCACCCACTGCAGGCACACACGGCCATGGCCAACAGTGGCCCACCTGGGCACAGGCACACATCATGCACAATGGGTCACCCTCCCACGACCATGGACGGGAGGGCACGCTGGCATCTACCCATGTGGCAGACACATCCTTCACCTGCACACGCCCCACAGGTCCCTGCACCTCTCACTGAGGTGGCCACACACGCCCACACACAGGGTCACCCTCACTCCCCCCTCAGGTCACCTTCACCAAGTCACCCTCCACCTTCACCTCCCCCTCCCGGGCCCACTGCCCTGGCCGGCTGCCGCGACCCTGGGAAAAACCAAATGTACACCCTCCCCTCGGAGGGGGAACCGACCCGATTCCCAAAAAGTGGCCACGGTCTGGGCACACCCACGAGGCAAAAGCCAGCCTCACTCCCACCCTAAGACACACCCAGCCTGGACGGCGACCCCCAGCCCGCCGCCGGGCCCTTCCCGTGCCTCCCAGGCCAGCGCAGGGGTCCCCACTCCGTCCCCGGGGAGACAGTTCCCGAAGCCACTGGGAGGTAGGGGAGCAGGGCTGAGGATCCGCGATCGGGTTCCCACCCGGGATTCCCTCTGGGGAGGGGTCCCAAAAGGAAGGAGAGATGCGCCCCCCGAAGATGACCGGCGGCGGGGGCGGCCTCTCCCCGCGGATGCCAGCTAGGGGGAGATTCCGGCGGGGGCAGGGTGCGGAGAGGGGCGCTCGGGGGAGGGGCGAGGGGCGGCAGGGACCGCGGCCCGGGGGGAGGCAGCCCGGGGGGAGGGAGCGGGGTCCCGGGGCGGGGGTCGCGGGCGGGGACCGGCACCCCGCGCGGGGGACGGCCCCGGGGAGCCGTGGCGGGGATCCGTGCGCATGTCACTCACCCCCGCGGCGCGCCCCGCCAGGAGCAGCAGCAGCAGCGGTGGCAGGAGCAGCCCGCGGGCCCCGGGCCCGGCCGCGGCCCCGGTCCCGGCGCCGGCCCCGTGGGCGGCCCCGGCGCGGTGCGGCGGCCCCGGCTTCATGGCGGCGGCGCAGGGCGCGGGCGGCGGCGGCGGACAGGAGCCTTTGTTCCCGAGCACGGCGCGCGGCGCGGCTGCTTGGCGGCGGCGCGGCCCGGCGGCTGGACCGACGCGCTCTGGGCTGCGGGCTCCCGGCTCGGCCGCCCGGCTCCGCCTCGCAGCTCCGCGCCCACAGCAGCCGCGCCGCAGAAGCGTGCGCCGCCGCCGCCGCCGCCGGGCCGCCCCAGCGCGGGTGGGCAGGAGGAGGGCCCGGGCGGGGCGGAGAGATGCGGCACCCCGCGGTCTCCACACCCTCGGCCAGGCCCGGCCCCGCCCCACCAGAAGGAGCACCACGCTGCGGAGTGGGCGGACACCGGGGGCGCGGCCGGCCTCGCCGAGCGCCGGGGGCTGGAGGGCGCAGGCCGCCGGACCCTCCGCGGCTGCGCCGCCGCCGCCGCCGCCGGGCCGCCCCCAGCGCGGGCGGAGCGGGAGGAGGGGCCGGGGCGGGGCGGGCCCAGTGCGGCCCCCGCGGTCTCCGCACCCTCCGGCCCCAGGCCCGGCCCCCGCCCCCACCCAGAAGGAGCACCACGCTGCCGAGTGGGCACCCGGACACCCGGGCGAGCGGCCGGCCTCGCCGAGCCGGGGGCTGGAGGGCGCGGAGCCCGCCGGACGCACCTCCGCGGCCGCCGTGCTAGGTAGAAGGGAAGGGTCCCGCGTGGGATGCCAGAGCCCGGGCCTGGCTCCCTGGAGTCGCCGAGCGGAGGGTCGCATAGGCGTTTTCATCTACAGCCTCCCCCTGTGGGGTTCCACGCACGTGTCTCTTCCCGGACTCCCATCGTCACCCTCACACACTCAGCCAGTCCACCCAGTGGGCCAGAGGTCGTTCAAGACCACAGGCTTTCATGCCTCCAGGACACCCAGGGGCTGTGTGACCTCAGACCAGGGCCCGGCCCTCTCTGGGCCTCAGTCTCCCCAGGGGACCATAGGGGTGGTCACTTCTAGGCCCTGTCACTGTGGATCTGCAGAGGAAAAGCCATGCAGACCTGAGCGCAGCTGCTTTCACACCAGCTGTGCGCCTCCAGCAAGGCCCCCAGTTCTCTGAGTCTCAGATCCCCCACGGTTGAATGGGACCACCCCCTCCTGTGCAGGGTGGTGAGAAAAGTACATCTCTGAGTGGCAGTCTCTAGTGCTGGTGGTCTTTCCACCCTGTGTGGTCACGGTGCCTTTTCCCCCTTCACCTTCATCCCCAGCGGCATACCCTACTCTGTACTTACTTCTCCAAGTCTCCAAGGGCGTGTGAGCTCCAGCGGGAGCAGGGGTTTGTGTCTGTCTTGTTCACGGCTACCTCCCCAACACCAGCACAGGGCTCGGCATGACATCCATGCTCAATCCAAATTTGTTGAATCAATGAATGTGTTTCCCATTTACTGGGGCTTACCACCATCCAAGTGTTTTGGGGCAAGATGGAAGAGAGTGAAACATTTCTTGAACCCTGACCACATGCCAGGTGCCCAGCACTTTCATGTTTTATATCATTTCTCAGGAACCCCATAAGGTCGGTGCTGTCAATGTCTCCACTTCTTAGGTGGGGAAGCTGAGAGCCAGCGAGAAGAGGTTATTTGCTGATGACAGCTGGCTGGATGTCTCTACCTTCAGCTACTCTCCTCTCTGGCACCTGTGTCCCAGCACCTAGCTTACGGCCTGCCATTAGAAAATAGGAGTGAAACTGAGTTGAAACTGGAACAATTCCCTCAAGAAAAGGGGAACCAAAACCAGAATGAATGAAGGGGCAGGCCTAGAGGAAGAGACTCTGGGGGATCAGCCATGGGTTTTTGATGTTGGTGACAACTGGACTTGTCCTGCAGGGCCCTTGGGAGGAGGACCAGAGGACAAAGGTCAACTCAACATGAAGTAGAGATGAATTAGAAGGGGCTCCCCGGGAAGGATGGAGAGCCCAGTCCCGAAAGGGTATGGAAGGCCAGCTCACCACCCTCTGACAGGGATCCTGGAGAGGGAAGACAGGGAGATTTTCCAACTAGGAATTCTGAGGTCCCAGCCTCTGAAAATTCAATTCTCAAATCTTTTGGAATTCTCAAATCTTTGGCATGACATCAATGCTCGATCCAAATTTGACTGGCACCTTAGGGAGATGGGCAGGGAGAATCTGATGGGGAGCAGAAGGTGAGAAGTTGGTTTCTGTTGAGGTAGCACAGCTTGGAATTGAGCTCTGGCTCTGGGTTGGCCAAGTACCTGGGTTCAAATCCCAGTTCTGCCAGTTATGAGCTGCGTTGTGTTGGATGTGTGACTTAACCTCTCTGAGCCTCAATTTCCCAACTGTGATATAGAGATAATGACCATACAGAGTTCATTCATTCATTCATTTAGCAAGTATAAATTGAGTGCCTGCTGTGTGCCAGGCCAGTGCCAGGTTGTGAGGATTACATGAGCTCTTCCCTGCCATTGTAATGGAGTTCAACGAAGGTGGGTGGGATGAAGCTTATAAAGGAAAGGACTCAGATGCAGGGATAACATCGCCTTTCAGAGGGACTGAGCAGATCCCAGGAACAGACCAATCCTGAGGTGCTCCCAAAGGGCCGGCAGGGTTAGGGTGGGGATTATGAGGAGCCAGATGTCAGCTGGTCACAGACAGCAGTGGCAGTTCTAAGAGGCAGTGAGTACCCTGTCTTGAGAGGTATTCAAGGCTCGGAGAACTATCTAGCAGGGAGACCATTAGGATGGTTTCCATGAGTAAGGTGGGCAGTGAGCATGACCCATCTTCAGAGGTTCCTGCCAGCTCTGAGACTTCTGGAAGCAGCAACCCTACTTCCCTGACACCCCAGGGAAGAGGTGGGGGTGGGGCAGGGCAGTGGAGAATCTTTGGTCTGGACAGGCCAGGAGCGCCACCTGCTGCTCTTCAAAGATACTGGTCACAGCCAGAACTAAGACAGTTCTGGGCCCATGAAGGTCCTTTTCGTCTTGCTCCCCCACCCCTCCCGTCCCAGGTTTCCCTGGGGTTCACAGATGCACACATTTGCCTGCCCTCGAGCACACAGGGCATCCGCACAGTCACCCTCGCCCAGGCCTCCTTGTGCATTGAACCACATCCCCACATACTCAGGGTCTCCCTTCACAGTACCATAACCTTACCCACAGACACCTGCTGCTGCCTCCTCCTGGCACAATACTCACAGTCCCCTCTGGCCTTTAGAATACACACTGCCTCCTCTGGGAAGTCTTCCTGATGTCCTCTGAGTGATCAGGCCTGGTCCTGTCCTGTTGGCATCCTGATCACACTCATCCTGCACTCCTCACCCTGCTTTCAGTCCCTACTGTCTGTCTTGCTCCAAAGTGGGAGCATTCAGTATCTCAAATGAACAGTAGCTATAGAAGAGCGCAAGTGGAGCTGATTCTGGGCCAGGCACTGCTTTCTCAAATGCACACTCACATTAGCCCCATTTCCAGATGAAAAACAAATGCACAGAGAAGATAGGAGACATGCCGAGGCAGCACGACTGGCAGTGAGAGCTGAGATCCTGACCCAAGCCAGCAGTTACACTGCAATGCCAGGCCCAGAGGTGTATTGGGAGGCGTTTGATGAATGAATTAGAGTCACTGAGGGGATTCACATAGTCACACGCCAACATGCAGACATACTCAGATGCAGTCTGGCCCTTGGGAAACCCCGAAAGGCATGCCTAGTAGCTGCATCTCAACCTTTCCACCTCACCCCCACCCCAGTCAGAGCCGTCTCTGTCCTTGACAGGGCCTCCTAGCTCTAACCAAGCATCTGAGGGTTGGGGAGGCCTCCGCCGCATCTCTGAGCTCCACTCAGGTGAACCTGAGACGCCTTATTCAGAGTGGCACGCCCAAGCCTGGCACACAGTAGGTGCTCAGTAGCTGTCACCTGACTCTACGTGTCCCCCAGGGGATTGGTTAAGCCAACTGGCTCTCTGGACTTCAACAGTCCCGTGGCATCCTAAGAGCCAAGATTGATGGAGGCCTTACTACCTGCCAGGCACTGTTCTGAGCCAAACACACCCTCATTTACTCCTTCCCACAGGCCTGTGATTTGGGCCCAACAAGCAAACTCGCCTCCCAGGGCTGCTACTGTGAGGACCAAATGAGCTGCCAGCCCTGGAGTCTGGCGCACAGTGAGCCCCATCCGTGTGCTTGCTCTCTACTTCGTCCCATTTTACAGTTGGGGAATCTAGGGCTCGCGGGAGTTCAGTAACTTGTCCCAGGTCACACAGCCAGGAGGAGGGCAGCCAGGATTTGAACCATGTGATGACAGAGCCCTGGCTCTGAGGTGATGATAGAGCCCTGGCTTTTCACCCTGTGCTGAGCTGCCTCCGTGGGCAGAGGGGACTTTGTGATCCTTACCAGACCTCCCAAACACAAGTGCTGTCTCAGCTCAAGGCAATCACAGGGCTTGCAAAACAAGTCTCCATCCTCCTCCCTCCCCACCCCAACCATCTCCCATCACAACTTCCGGTCTTGCCCAAGAGTCAGGATGGAGGCCACAGCCCAGGCTTGCTTCTAAGAAAATCCAAGTGACAGCAGTCCTGGAGGTCAGTGACCCCCAAAGCTGAGGAATCGGAACGGGGCTCTGACAAGAGGGCTCCAGATCGGGAGGACCCCAGAGTCCTCCTAGGGGAACCTGGGGAGACTTGGAGGCCATCTGGTGCCCCAGTGAGTAGAAATCTCACTGGGGAAGGATCTGCAAGGCCTGTGGCAGGGCCAGGGTGACCGGTGAGAAGCCTTGGCCTCCCCCCAACAGGGGGCCTCCATCGTGGGGAGCCTCCTGCCTGCCCAAGGGACCTGGCCTGTGTGTGGGTCTCACAGAGCCATGCCCCTGCTCTTAGTACACAGCCAGGCTCGGCCAGCCTTCCCTGACCTCTCTGTGTGCTGGGAAAGTCCTTGTAGGATGAGAGGCTAGGTGACACCCCAGGACACACAGCTGCTACACACAGGTTAGGATTTGAACTCAGGCCTCTCCTAGGTCTGTGAGTTGAGGGTTTGCAAACTGTGGGTCCCAAAGCGTTCCTGAGAGGTCCCTCAGGGCTGGCATGCAAGGAGGGGGAGTAATCAGGTTTTGTTTGAGCTCAGTGACCTGTAGGTCACAGAGTAAGTCCTGGGCTGGCGTTGTAGGAGGGAAGAGGCTGTGTAGACTCAGCAGGGCCTGTGGCTGA